ATAATTTACATATATAATAGATGTATTAATTAGTGAAATTGATTATTTTTTTATTAATAAAAAAATTAAAAATACCAATGACATGTAAAATTTAAATAATTCAAAAATCTCACAAATTAACATTTGGCAAAAGTTTTAAGAAAAAAAAAATATGTCAAAAAATTTTCATTTATTCAAATAATTTATTTATTTATTAGGTTAGATATTATATGCAACTCTAGTTCAATATAAATGTTATTCAGGTAAAATACATATTTGTTTTTTAGTAATTTAATTTCAAAAATATGACAACATTTCTTTGCTTAAAAATACAAAATCTGGTTCGACATAAAACTTTTAATTAATAACAAAATCGTGTCCTTTTCCATAGACTGTCATAGCAGCGGCGTATCAAGGCCCCTTTTCCAATAGAAATTCCCCACTTGATTCCATGCTCCGCAGAACATTCGATTGACGTTTTGCCTCGAATCTCTCACCGTCGATGCCACCACCGTCTCTCCACGTGTACACATCCTAGCCGCCGCTGCAGCCTTGTGCCAGTAACGTACGTTCTAGCAGAGTAGCACGCGAAACATGCCCATCATCTGAAAAAACCGTCGAAAAAAACTTCACTGCAACTTTCTCTTACTCCTTCGTCTCCCTCCGATACAATCGCTCCTTTCACGACTTCCGTTGAATCAACAATGTGTAAGTGTTGATTGTAATGTACATAATCAGATTTTCTATTAGTTTTTGAGCTCTCGTTACGTCTTATTTCACTATATTTCTCAAATGCATGAGTTTATTTGAAATCCTAAGCTCGAAAAGCAAACAAAAGTGAAATCCCCCTTCCTTTCTGTTTCTCCAGCTGCAATATTATCAATGGAGGTAGATGACGGGACGGAAACGCATCATCGGGGAGTCTGTACGCCTTCTGGTACGCTGTATGCCTGTATCTATGTATATGTTTGCTTTTTATTACATTTCTCGCGTTATGAACCTTCGCAATGTTTGTATGTTCGTTTTGAAACTGATTATTGCTAGTTGAAGTTCTGTAAATGTTTGCATAAGATTCTGAATATATTAAGGGTTTGTTAATCAGTTTCATACCACTAAACAATCGGATTATCAAAGATTAAAATAAAGTTACATATTCATTTCGTCTTTTGACCTAATATGTGAGATTTTTGCTCTCATCTTCAGGACATGCCAGAAGAATCTCAATGTTCTTCTACCCTATTAGTTTTTTAAATATCCAGCTTTTGTAAAAAAAACTTATGCTCTGGTTATTAAATTTCAAACAAGTTCAAATGTCATCCCCTGCAGCCTAATCTATTGCAACTGAATATACTAATTATTTATTATTACACAATCTCTTCCAGAAAACACATATACCTGAATTTAAAGCACAAGATGTGTTCCAAATAAAGATTCCGGTTGCATTGTTGTTGCCCATGTATCCGAGTAAACAAAAGATCAGCTATACTAAGCAAATCATTGATGTACTATGAGAAACATAAGCAGTGGTTTACTTACTATAAGTCTATAACTGACTATTTACTTATTTACATCTATGGACAATAACAATGCAATGAAGAACTTTATTATCAACACATCTTGAGCTTTGAATTCAGCTATATCTAGTCTCTTCACCACAGCCACCCCTGTTTTGGTAACTTTCAGAAGTAGCAAATAAATGGTTTGTGTCGATTATATAATGAATGCAACCATAAATTTACGGGTTTTGCATATTTGTTTCTGAAACAGTCAAAGGGAGACAGAGTATGGACAGCAATGAAGAAATTATATCACCGAGTCCTAGGTATAAACATGTATACATGTCTGATAAAACTAAAAACAAGCGTAAGAACTTTGATCACACAGATCCGTTTGCCATCAGAGATTTTGTGCTAGGATTTGATAGTCCTAAGTATGGTTCTGTTACAAAAGATATAGAAGATCTTTTTTCACGAAAGAAGCAGATGTTCATGCCTACTTTTAGAAAATTTCCTTTACTTGGAGTTGATTCACTGGATCTGAAGCCTAGGAAGGATATTTCCATTGTAATTGAAAACACAAAGCATGATACAAATGCACAAGCACCACAATTGGTTGTTATCATTGACTCGGATGATGATGAACCCACATATCAAATTCCTTCAAAATCATTCCAAGATGCAGTTATCAAGATTCCTTCAAAACCATACGTGGATATAGAACTCAAGATTCCTTCAAAAACAGACGAGGATATAAAACTCACGATTCCTTCAAAACCATATGAGGATACCAAACTCAAGATTCCTTCAAAACCACACGAGGATATAGCACTCAAGATTGGTTCAAAACCATGCAAAGATACACTACTCAATAAGCCTACTGAGCTGTCAATGGAACAAATTTTGGTAAGTTTTTCCTGTCATATATGATTCAGTCTAAATCATCACTACAATTTGTTAAGTAGAGGTCCATTTGTGTTTATCATACACAATTTGTTGAAAAGATGTCTGTTCTGATTTGAATCGTTTAGACTGCATGTTTCTCTCTTACATTATTTTTGTTTCATTATTCTGTAGGGTGGAGATGATGGTCTTGACCAAGCTACAAAGGAAGGGGGAGATAGAGATACATTAACTGTTGTGGCGCCTAGTGTTGAAAAAGAAAAGAGCTTTAAAGATGATGACATGGACAGTGAAAAAAAACATGATGATGTGGACAATGACAAGCATGGTGACATGGACAGTGGAGGAAAGAAGCATGATAAGGGTAAGTATGTTGGTGTTGAAGATGACGATTCAGACGAACAACCTGAAGCTGATTTTGACGGACTAGGCGATATATGGAAAGAAATGACAATCGGATTAGAGTCTTCAAAGGTAATAATCAATTAATCATGTGTTGTTTGTTTCTTGTCATCTTTAGTTATATTTCCTTGATTCCTTCCTGTGTTTTATATTTTTCAGGATAGAATCCCAGCATCTGATGAAAATGCAAATGAAGAGGGAAAAGACTGTGATCATACATTTATTTTGAAAGAAGATATTGGTTCTGTATGTCGTGTGTGTGGAATAATCGATAAAAGTATCGAATCCATAATCGAATTCCAGCGTCCCAAAGTAACTTACTTTCCTTGTTCACACTTCACCCCTTTATTTGTTCTGTTTTCTTCTTGTTTCTATGTATCATGAGTAACATGACAACTTACTTTCTAGTTTCTAATTTCTATTCAGACCATAAAGAGTACAAGAACTTATCACTATGAAAGCCAAACAAAAAGAGGAGATCGAGCTAATCCTGTTCTTAATGGGGTTAAGCTACCCGGAAATGATTTCTCAGTGTGTGAAGTAATAGCTCATCCAAGACACAAAAAGCAAATGAAACCACATCAAATTGAGGGTTTCAATTTTCTTTTAAGCAACTTGGTGTGTGACAACCCTGGAGGCTGCATTCTTGCTCATGCTCCAGGATCAGGGAAAACATTCATGCTTATCAGCTTTATTCAAAGCTTTATGGCTAAGTATCCAGATGCTCGACCACTTGTGATTCTCCCAAGGGGTATCTTGGGAACATGGAAAAAAGAGTTTACTAGATGGCAAGTGGAGGACCTCCCGTTGTTTGACTTGTACTCTGTAAAAGCTGAGGGTAGGGTTCAACAATTTGAAGTGTTAAAACAGTGGGCTAATCAGAGAAGCATTTTATTTCTTGGATACCAACAGTTTTCCTCGATAGTGTGTGATGACGACACAAGCTCAATTCCAGTTAGTTGTCAAGAGATTTTACTAACATACCCTTCGCTTCTCATACTAGACGAAGGTCACACCCCTAGAAACCAAGACACCAACATTCTCACCTCTCTTGAAAAAATCCAAACCCCTAGGAAGGTGGTTCTTTCCGGAACCTTGTATCAGAACCATGTCAGAGAGGTTTTCAACATCCTTAACCTCGTACGTCCCAAGTTTCTACGAATGGAAAATTCCAAAGCTATAAAACGACGTATTCTGAGCAGGGTGCCCATTGAAAGCCGGAGAAACCTTTTGAAAAAGAGTACAGATAACGAATTCTACGAGGTGGTTGAACATACTTTGTTAAAAGACGAGGATTTTAAGAGGAAGGTGACTGTGATTGAAGATTTACGTGATATGACGAACAAAGTTTTACACTATTACAAAGGCGATTCCTTAGACGAATTGCCTGGACTCGTTGACTTTTCTGTTTTTCTTAACCTCAGCCCCAAACAAAAACGCCATGTTACAGAGTTGAAAAAGTTGAAAAAGAAATTCAAAATAAGTTCAGACGGAAGCGCGATTTACGTCCACCCTGCGCTCAAATCTGTATTGAAGACCACCAAGGACAAAAACGACGACGACATTAGTAAAATCGATGAGATTTTGGAGACATTGGACGAAAGAGAAGGAGTAAAAGCTAAATTCTATCTCAACTTACTCCGTTTATGTGAATCCGAAGGCGAAAAGCTTCTTGTATTCGGTCAATATCTGTTGCCTTTAAAATTTCTACTTCGATTAACAGTGAAGACAAAAGGTTGGAGTCTGGGAAAAGAGGTTTTCATGATCACAGGAGATCATGACAACGACGAACGTGAGATAGCGATGGATCAATTCAACAACTCCCCGGATTCCAGAGTGTTTTTCGGATCAATTAAGGCGTGTGGGGAGGGGATATCACTTGTGGGGGCGTCTAGGATAATTATTTTAGACATTCATTTAAATCCATCTGTTACGCGACAAGCGATTGGGCGCGCGTTTAGACCGGGGCAAATAAGGAAAGTGTACACTTACAGGTTGATTGCAGCGGATTCACCTGAAGCGGATGATCATGAAACTTGTTTCAAAAAGGAATCGATTGCTAAAATGTGGTTTGAATGGAACGAGTATTGTGGGCATCATGATTTTGAGATGGAAACAACGAGTGTTGAAGATTGTGGGGATCCGTTTTTGGAAACTTCGTGGTTGAATGAGGACGTGACAGCTATCTATAAAAGGTTAGTGGTTTAATTAATTATCAGAGCATTGATTTTTGTGTTTATATAATGTATTGATTATTGTGTTCACTCTCTTTGTAGATGATCACAAATGGGAAGAAGGTAAGGGTTGGACGTGGATGTGGATAATAGTCAAAACATGTAACTAGAAAGTTAGGAATCACAGAATGTGCTAACTTTTTGTATAGATTTTGGCAAAGGGTAGTTGTGAAATGGTTGTTTGACATTTTGATAGTAGTTGCTGGCTGATTTGTTTTTTGCAAATGCATGAAAATGAAATTATATGCAACTCTTCTTTCTTTACATGTGTTCAATTTTTTTTTGCTTTTTCTTTGATGATAAGAAGTAAAAACTAGATTGATTTTAAGAATTTACATGAAAAAGCTTGTTTGAGTAAAACCACTCGCGTTAAAATTTGAAAAAGTCATGCAACTTTGGGTGATGAAGAATCTATGGATTCTTGTTTGTGCATTTCTTCCACCATTGGCTTCCATAGGCGAACTCGTGCGTTTATGAACCAATTCGTGACCTGATCCATTTCAAGTAACAAAGTGTGATTGTGTGATGAGTGATGATTATTATTTCAATAAAAGCGTGAAGCTTACCTGAGTTTTAGTCAAGCCTGTTTGTCTGGCTAGCATATTTTTTTCTGAATCCTTTGGATATCTAGTACAAATCAAGAAATCATGTTTAAATCAAATCTTTGTTTTCTATGTTTGGAATCAATGAGTAACAAAAACAAACAATTTGACGAAAAATAATAAGTTGAGTGTGATTACGGATGAAGAAAGTGCTCAAACAGCCATGCACGTAGGATTGACACACAGCTTTCAGGAAGCCCTCTTTGTGGTCTCCAGATATGTCTATGCATGGCTCGACTCTGTTTCCTCACCTTCTGATCCACAAATCTCAACCTCGGAATCTCAATTCCGTCTTGCCAAGCCTTCTTGATATGACTTCTCTCTGGCTTTTAATCGCATCTTTTATGAACCGGAATTGGCATGATATGGTTTGGAGAATGAGTGTGGTGTAGGGGCTTGAAGCCCCACATCCAGCAAGTGCCTCAAATGATGATACAACAATCTGCATTTGATGGTAGTATTGTTTGTATCTTCTATCAACCTATAAGAACAAGAAGTAGTTAAAGCTTGGAATTCCAATTCCGGCCAAATCCTATGAAAATTTCAAAAGTACCAACGAACAAAGTCAATGGATTCAAACATGTGCAAGCCATCTTATAAAGAATAAGACAAAAACTTACCTCATTCAGCATAGACGATAGCTTAGTCATATTGTTCTGTAAATCTTGTTTTTCAGCAGCTGAGACTGGATTGGAATCAAGTTTGTTTTCCGATATCCCCATGGCTTCTTTGGAATTGCTCATGTAATCATGTTTACAGTGTTGTTTCATAGCTTTCTTGACATTAACAACATCATCAAGTAGGTTTTGAGTTGGTTTTAGATACTTGGAATCAGAAATCACATTCCCAGTTCCATTTGGATAACTCTTGGAATCTTGGCTATTTTCATATGCCAAAGGAAAATCAACTATAGTATTAAGGCAATGATCATGATCGGAATGGAATCCGATTCCGGAGGGCGGAATGCACGAAACCATTTGATCCATAATTTCATGACTCGTACTATCTCTTAACAAACCAATACTTGATTCACAAAATCGTTGCTGTGAAACACCAGAATCATGGACTCCGCCGACGTTTGGAATGCACAGTATGAGATTTTCAATAGGAATCGGTGATTCCGGAGAAGAAGGTTGATTGATTCTTTCATTGTTGAAGCTTGGTATGTAAGTTGACATGTTTTTCTTCTATCTTTTTCATTTGCATTGAAGAAACATTTAATATGGATTCACACAAACAGTTGATGAAGTGAAACATTAACTGTGTTGGGGAAAAAGGACATGAATATAAAAGCAACAAGTACTTGATCTTCTGTAAAAAGATTTCCCTACTTTCTTTTCTACTGCAATAAAACAAAACAGGGTAAAATTGTACGAAAGTACGTATGAATTAAATAAAAAGTTTACCAGAAATTATAGTGTGATTGCAATAAAAAGCTACCAATAGTTATGAAAAACCCCATTTATGAAAAAACCAAAAAAATCGTGACTTTTTTTCACTGTTGTTAAAGAAATTCTATCTTTTCCATATTCTTCTATAACCTATTTATATGTTTCTCTCTCTAAAAGTATATGTTTCTCGCTCTAGAAGAGAGGAGTTAGTTGGTTTTGATGATGTTGGTGGTAACTGTTTAAGGAGTGCAATCGCTAACAACCAGTTGGTAGAAACAAAACAAGCTGAAACTAGATCCGATGGAGTTAGGTTTCATGAAACAAGATTCAACAAAAAATAAATGTGTTTGATCAAGTAAATTTGATTCGAGTTTGACAAAGAACATTAACATATGTGCAACTATGCAAGGCTCCGAATTAATGTTTGTTTGACTTTTATCATATATTTCAAACTCGTTTCCTATATACTTAACTAAAGGATCCTCTATTAAATTTATGCTCAAATAACTCGATAAAATCTTGATATATTTAGTTGTGTCCTGCTAGAAATTGTGACGGAAGGTCTTGCTGCGATTTCAGCCAAATAATTAATTTTGATTTTTTTTGTTTATTCGAATGACAACCGTACAATTAAAAGAAGCGAGGAATAATAAAGAAGACAAGATTTACATTGTTCACAAGATTAGAGGTAGTGTTACGTTCATATGCAAAATAGAGAGATTTATTATTGATCTCGTCGGAATGAGGTTTACAGTTACATTGATTTTCTATATATATAAAGCTAGGTATTGAAGATCTCATATTTATCTTCTAGAAAATAAATGCACACCTTTCTCATGGAATTGTCTATAAAAGCAACATGGTATCATGATCCTCCTATTGAGGAAATTGATGTAGGATTGTACACGTTAACATGAGCGAACTCCAACTTTCCAACCGTAGGTGACGTCCCCATATTTATAAAGGTAATTTTTCTATGAGTACTGAGGATACATAGCTCATAGAAATCCATATCACATTCTTCAAATATGAAAATCTAGGATCTTTATATATTTTTCATTCATATGTCCAAGTCTTTAGTGTCATAGAGTAGACACAACAATATCTTCAATAGCAATGTTTTCTCCACCTAGTACAACCTCGACCTCAACTATGTTTCATGTATATTGTATAAGGTTCCTCAACTTTTACCACAATAAGTTACTAACTTCTCTTTGTCACCATCCATTGGTGACCACCAAAATCAACATGATATCCTTGGTTGTCCAATTATCCCACACATATTAACATTCTCTTCAGGTTTGAAATGTATTTGACATTTTTCAAAGTCTAATTCAAGTCAAGTGATGTCTTGAATCTAACATTCCTAAACACCCATAATATCAAGACTCTTATCATATGCTCTGATATAATTTGTTAGGTATTCGAACAACAATCACACAATAAAAATATACAAAGAGAAAATAAAGAAAAAGTTTTCATGGTTCAAACGCTTAGGAATAATCGTGTCCATAGACAAAAGAGAGATTTATAAATAAAACGAGGTTCTATATATACACTTAGGTAGAGACAAACTGAAAGATAATGTGAGACACTAACATAATATCACCTCCTGTTTGATACTTATATTATTCACCAACATCGTTTTTGATGTGGGACTCCCCTAACCGTTGCCAGAAACAATCTGTTACCATAACTTAAATCCTATTTTCTGTAAATGGAAAAAATTAATCTACCAAATTAAGCAAGTTTGGGATCATGATTTCTTGTTACAAACGATTATTGATACTCTGATCCATTCAACTAGTTTACAAGTTAGATGACTAAGCTTGTTTGTAATGTTAAAAACTAGTTTGTTATCTGAATTTTTTGAAAAATGTAAAACATGACTTTTGGTATTTTATAGACTAAAGTGATATGTTACATACAAATGTCACATATAAAAAATTGTCCCACAAAATTCAATGAACTATAATGATTCAAACCCTTCAAGGCTATCTTGATAATAATAAGAGAATGTCATGCATATTATGCATAAAAAGTTCATGTTTCATCGTTACCTATGACATGTTTGGCTCTTTATATAGTAACATAGTTACAAAATATTTAGAGAAGGTTTTCCTAACTTATTTTGATAACCTTAAATATAATACATTTTGATTTGTTTGCAATCTTCAATTTACAATATAACTGTAACACCTGTGTTCCAGCTATTTTTCATTTATGGCTTAAATTATTAAATTGTTGCATTTTGGTCCATTATGCGGGGCATAGATTGCAACTACGCAGGGTGTAGCTAAGGAAATAGGACGTGAGCATCCCATGTAGTATGTAGGGCGTAATGTCGCTGAACCCAAACTCTATTTTTTTTAGGGTTAAGACCATATTTAAACGCCTTATAACCCTGAGGCATCCTTTATCACCAGCCTCCATTCCCCCTTTCTGTCATTTCGAAACCCTAGCCACCTTGTGAGATTCTTTGTGACATCCCCATTTTTACGGCCAGAAAAGACCGATTTTGTTTATGCTTTATAAAAATCAGAGTACCTCTTTTAATAAAAATGTTGCGGAATTTGTTCCCAGAAAAACATGATAAATACGTTATCAAATCATTTCCGAAGAAATGTATTTCATTCATTTTCGAAACATTGGGATGTCATCGTCAATACAGAAACATAAGCATAAACAGAACTTACATTCATTTACACTAGTGATCTACATCTCTTTTAAATCTCTCAGTTTAAAGTAGCTTCATATCGACATCTGTGATACAAATAAGCTTGAGTGGGTCAGGTTGGGAAACCTGGTGAGTACATAGGGTTTTCAACCCACAATAATATAATTATTATGTTTAAACAATCAAACAATCAACCCAATTACCCATCCCCATTTTCTTCATTTAATATTCCCTAAAGAATTATCTTAAGGGTCATCTCCTATGTCGTATTTACCTCTCATCTCTTTACATCACATTTCCTTATATGTTCGTTCCTAAGGCATGAATACGTAGTCACAACATCGCCTGAACTCGTAATTCATAGTAAGGGTTAGAGTATCATCACATGAATATGCAGTCACAACATCACCTGGACTCGTAATTCATCACCTACAGGTTATAAGTCCGCTGGTGTTTCCACGGGTTGTCTAGAATAGTCCATGGTCGCCATCTATACTCTAGTAGATGACTACATCTCCAAATTGCCGGACAAGGTTATAGTATCTTTCATCCTACATCACCGATTCATCATCACCTATCCATCACCTAATTATCATCACCTTCCTATCATCACCTATCTCTCATCATTTTATTTCATCACACACCAACTATTTCATCTACCCATGTTTTATCCCAACATATTTGTAGATATAAAATAAATATATATTTAAATCATTTAAAACATGTATAAAATCATTCATCCATCATAGACAGCAAATATTAAGATAATATGCACACATAGCACGTAATTTATATAAAATACTTCATATCTATGTGTAAGATGAAAGAGACCATGCACTCACTTGAAAAGGTGGTGATTCCGAACTCAGACAGCGCTTCGCTTCTTAAAAAAATAATTTCCTTCGACGAAACCTAGTATTATTACCACTAGAGTTTAGTCTATTATTCGCCGAGATTAATTAATAGTCTAGCTATTATTACTATTATATAAGCGTTAAACAATACTTATATAACCCATAATAACAGTCCAAGTACTTATTATAAGTTCCTAATAACGCTACTATAATTAAATAAACGATATATTAAAAATAGCGTAGGCGTAGCTCACTTACAGCGGGTTTTATAGAAAACCGGGCTTTGCTTGGAGCAGCGTTCCCGAGCTGAAAAACTCTTCTTCTCGGAGCTGTCGAGCACTCCGAGGCTTCCGCCTCGTGCTAGGGAGGTTCCCTAGGCTTTTTGGGGGGTTTCGAGGCTAGAGAGAGGTTCTAGAGAGAGAGTAAAGAGAAGAAAGAATGGGAAATGTGTGAAGAAAATGAGGGTGGGAGAGGTTCTATTTATAGGGTGAAAAATGGCTGAACTTGGTGCCACATGTCACCATCTAGTGGCAAGACTTGGGGAGAAAGCAATGGCCAAGATTGTGCCACATCACCCATTTTTGCACAGCACACTTCCGACTTCTAAAATCCGTAACTTTCACATACGACCTCCGTTTTTGACGTTCTTTATATCCACGCGTAGGTAAAAATAAGATCTACAACTTTCATTTAGACTCCATCGGCTAATTCTCGACCGATCTTAAATTTAACAGTAGAAGGAGATTAGACTGTTAAATGACCGCGAAAAATTCGTATCTCCTTCATACGGACTCCGTTTTCGTCTGTCTTTTTACCGTTGAGTTCCTATTAATGAGATCTTCAACTCTCATTAAGGTTACATAAGCCAAAAACCGCTCGAACTAAAATTCGAGTTTCGGGCCGTGCACTGCTATGCCAAATATTAGAAAATTAATAACTTCCTCATACGAAGTCAGATTTGGGCGTTCTTTTTTGTATGTTCTCAGTTTAGCATATTCTACGACTTTCGTTTAGATCACTAAGGCTAAAATTCATTCCATCGTAAATTCACTATTTACGCTTCCCGGTGCCGTGCCGGTTTTGCCGTAAAACGTCGACGGGTCGTAACTTCTTCGTTATAACTCGGATTTCGGCGTTCTTTATATGTATGGAAACCTTGAGACATATTCTACAACTTGGTTAAGATTATTTATTCTAAATAATGTTTTGTCAAAAAGTCGTTTTCGACCCCTATTATCTCTAAATTGACTAGCCCGGATCTACGGGCGTTACATTCTTAAGGTCTTAAAGTGATTCTTTGTGTGTTTTGGTGCATATTGAAGAAGAAGGAGTCAATTGGAGAGGTGTTGGGGAGCTTGGAGCTTGTGGATCCAGACTTGGTTTTTCATCTAGCGTCACCTGGAGGTATAAAGCTCTAAACTTTATGGCTCCTTAGTTTAGATCTATATTTGGGTTATATTTTGGCATGTTTTGATCCCATGGCTTTGGATCTTCTGAGTATGAGCTACTCCAGAAGACTTGAGCATCATTTTTATCCATTTATGAGGTTATTAAGTCATAAAAATCAAATCTTGGGGGTTATAGTCCACTCATGCATGAATTGTTGGTCATTTTATGAATTTATGAACCTAGGGTTTGGTTTTGGGCTCTATTAAGCTATACAAAAGCTTAAAGTTTTTGACTTTATCAGTTAAGACCTTCCCAAGATTAATATCTATGATTTGGGCGTATGGTCTTTAAGCATTAAGAACGTAAATGTGATTTTTTGTTAATAGTGGAGTACGCTGGTGTACCCTCCAGGTATGCATGACGTAACGGGTTGGCCCAAAAGCCTTTTCTGTGATTACCCAGTATGACGGGTGTAATTATGGAGTACGCATGGTGTACTCCCAGAAGCCTATTTGGGCCATTTTTGGGCCTTAGGTCATTATGGGTTTTGGGCCATTAGTAGTTGGGTCAAGTATGAGAAGGGTAAAATGGTCTTTTACCCTTAGTAAGATAGAATATGATTTGGACCATTGATTATGAGTTGTTACCCTCATTATTAATGAAGGTTGATTTTGATTATGTTCAGTGTGAGGAGCCGTGGTAGCAGCAGTTCGAGTATGTGATTTGTTTATCATCAAATTGGGGTGAGTCTCCTCACAGTACTTGTGGGTCGAAGGCTCCAATGCTGACCCACTGGATTATGTTGTAGGATAATAGTTGTCTTTGTGACACTTAATGATATTCCTGTATATGCTTGCTGTCTTTGTGACTCTTGCTAGTATGACTGTATGCTTAGATGTAGGGGGTAAAATAGACTTATACCAGTTAAAAGATACTAAGGGAGTCGAAGGGACTTTGAGAGTCGGAAGGGACTCAAAGAGGCGGAAGGGAATCATGGGTTAAATAGACCCGTTACAACTTACGGTTCATGTTTAAATGTTTTTCAGGTACTTCTGGTTCAAAAGGGAAGGGCCCGACATGATTGCATCGCATCCACCAGTGTTTAGCATTTTATGATTTTGGGACTGTATTCTGATGACTATTTTTCCACATTGTCATACTTTTGATGGCTTGAATTGAATGATTGATGGTTTTAGTTGACTTAAAAACAAAAAATTTTATTTGGTAATTTTGGGATGTTACAAAGTACCTTTAAAAGTATAAATGTCTTTTGATACTGTCAATAAGGCAACATTTGGTATACAGTAATTGAAGAGTTAACGAAATGAAATGCTATGACAAAATGAAAAAACAAATCTTGTTTGGTTGCCTTAAGAAATGGAGTTGAGCATTTTATACTATTCAAATTTATATTTATTAATAAAAAAACAACATAATTGAATGATTTATTTCATTTTTTTCGATTAACCAAACTTAGACAATAAAATATAATGATCAATTTCATTATATCCCTTCAAATGAATTGTGTTATCATTTTCATTCATTAGTCATTCTATTCCATAGTATAAACACCATAGGCGAATCTAATGTAGAGCTCGGAATGCCCTCATATATATATATATATATATATATATATATATATATATATATACACACACACACACACACACACACACACACACACACACATACATACATAGTATAAACACCATAGGCGAATTCAGTAGTTTAATTTTTTTCAGAAAATTTTGTTTTATGTTGCGGTGATATTCCGGAAAAAATGTAGGCTACCCTAAAAAAAGGTTATTTTCTAAATTGTAAATACAAATACAAACTAGCTCAATAAGTGGTCAAAACTTAGGGGGTGTTTGGATAAATAGTTTTTAGCTTATTAGAAAATTTTGTTTTATGTTGCGGTGATATTCCGGAAAAAATGTAGGCTACCCTAAAAAAGGTTATTTTCTAAATTGTAAATACAAATACAAACTAGCTCAATAAGTGGTCAAAACTTAGGGGGTGTTTGGATAAATAGTTTTTAGTTTATTAACTTATTGCTTATTTGCTTATTGCGGTGAGAATAAACACCTTTTTAAAATGTGTTTGGATTAACTTATTGCGGTGAGAATAAACACCTTTTTAAAATGTGTTTGGATTAACTTATTACGGTGGGAATAAGCAATAAGCAATAAACATTTTAAGTGTTTGGCAAACAAAACAGCTTATATGAGTAAAATGACCAATAAGTAATAAACATTCCCCCATTGCTTATTAAAATAAGCTTATTTTGCTTATTCTTACCGCAATAAGATGATTTTTAAATACTCCTATCCAAACACTTAAATTTGTTTATTGCGGTGGGATTAAGCAATAAGCAATAAACAACCTATTTTTTCCCTATCCAAACACCCCCTTATTAAACTCAAGTGGCCAAGTGCCAAGACAAAAAAGAGTTTAATGAAACAGAAAATTAGCCCAAATATGGCAAAATCGGTAGAAAGAAATCAACAAAGCAATCGACAGATGTCCCTTGCGATAGACAATGCTAATTGCCTTCCTTTAGTTGCCTTCCTTCATTCTGTTTTACCATCGATTTGCTGCTACCATGGGTTTATTCCGGCGAAATCTTTCGGTGGTGAGTGATCAATGATTGAAGTGCATAATGAAACAAGTAAGTATAAAAAAACTGAATCCTATTATTTATTGTTAGGTTAATTCAAATTTAGTTTTTAGCATTGTGTTGAAAAAAAAAAAAAAAAAAAAAAAAAAAAACAACCACACCCCACTAGTTCATGATTAAATCCATGAGCTGAAAAATGAACTATAACAATTTTCCAAACACGTTTAAATGGGTCGGATCGACTGAAGATATTTTTCTATAAATAATTAATATATTAAATGTAAACATAACAAATATAAATTCAGTTTTTCTTTTACAGTCTTATATTCAAATTATGTCATTACATATATCTGTATTTTTTCAAATTAAAAAAAGGAAATCTCTATTTGAATCTGGTTTAAAAAACATGATTTACGATCAACCTAGTTGCAAATCGAAACTGAATTGATAACTTACCAACGAACCAACGTAAACCGGTTTTCGGTTTCACTCGTCGTATTTTTCCCAAATTTGGTTTTCACCGACGAACTTTTAAGGTTTTGACAGTGATTTATAATTCTGTTTAGTTTTTATAGAAAATAGTCCTACGGATTTTGAGTTCCTGTTCTTAACTTCTTATGTCTGTCTAACTCCGTCGTTCTCCGTCAATGGCAAAAACCCGCACCACCAGAAAAACCCTAGATTCTTACACCATCAAAGGCTCCAATAAATCCATCAAACGTACCTTCACCTATTCCTTCTTAATCTCATCTTCCATCTTTTTATCGATTTCTTCTAACGATCTGTTTTTTTTCCTATCATAATCAGCCGGCGATTGTGTGTTGATGCGCCCTTCCGATTCATCGAAGCTGTCGTATGTGGCAAAAGTGGAGAAGCTCGAATCGGACGCCAAAGGAAGCAACGTGAAAGTTCACATACAGTGGTATTACCGACCGGAGGAATCGATCGGTGGCCGGAGACAGTTTCACGGCACTAAAGAGGTTTTCCTCTCCGATCACCATGATGTTCAGAGCGCCGATACAATCGAAGGCAAGTGTACTGTTCACACTTTCAAGAGCTATACAAAGCTTGACTCAGTTGGTAACGACGATTACTTTTGTCGTTTCGAGTATAATTCTTCCACCGGAGCTTTCAATCCCGATAGAGTCGCCGTGTATGTATAACCATAACCTTTTTTGCTGCAATTCTTCTCACATTTCTTGACTAAAGTTCGTGAAAAGCTTGAATTTTTACCCTTTTTCTTGTCACTATTGATCAATTCAATACATTCATCTGAATGTTAAGTGGTTCTTGTTAACATGGCAGATACTGTAAGTGTGAGATGCCTTACAATCCCGATGACTTGATGGTTCAGTGCGATGGCTGCACAGATTGGTAGGTTTATTCTGTCATATCTTTCTGGGGATTTGTAATCAAGTTCAATTCAGTTATTGGGTGATTATTTGGTTTAAAAGTTACCATTTTTCCATGCGTAATCATGTTCTTGTTGGCCTACGAATTCGATAATAAATCCTTAGCAAAATAAAACAATAAATTTCTACTGTTTTTGGTTCAGGTTTCATCCTGCTTGTATAGACATGACGCCAGAGGATGCTAAACAGATTGAGCATTTCTTTTGTCAGAATTGTTCATCTGAAGAACAAAAGCTGCTCCAAAATTCCCATGCTACCTCTAGACATACTGATGTGAAGGTAAGATTCTTGGAAAATATGACATTAATGTTTTATCAGTTTTCTTCCATTGAAATCTTAGTTTCAGTGTTAATCCTTTCATGTTAGGTTTTGGGCAATATGTTGTTGAAGTTTTCTTATATTTGTTAAATGGTTATGATTAAATTTTCAGGTGGGAACAAAGCGCAGAAGGAGGTGATTGAATATATAAAACAACAGTGAGGGTATGGCTTGATACGAGGTGGTAAATGTGGTGTGATACAATAATCTGTATGTATATGTTTCTGAAAAAGAGTTTATGTAATTTAGGGTTTTCCCACTTATTTTTATGTGGTATACGTTTCAAAAGCTGTGTTCTGATGTATCTAGTTTACCTCATAATATAAATCTAGACATGTATAAATCTCTTGACTATCTTATCTTAGATGGAGAATAAAGAAAGAGGTCAAGTTGTTTGCTTGCTTTTGAATAATTGAAAATGTGATTATCGGGCTTTGCTTATGCTGTGCATATGGTATTAGGCCCTAAACAAGTTGTACTGTGTTTGTTATTATGTATGGATTGAGGTTGATGTTAATGAGCTAAAATTTTAATTTTTTGTCTCACCAAGAAAGGTGGAACTAGTAAATACTCTTTTCATCCTTATCATCAAACTAAGAAAACTTATCTAGTAATCGCTGTTTAATAAACGCAATATGATTTAGATTTGGCAAATCCAAATGGGTCTTTGCAAGTCAAATAAAGAAATACACATGCTAGAAAACTTGCGACTTATAGCAAGAATGGCATTTTTCGTACTCATGTTTTCTGGATCAAGCTTTCTTTTTAGTTTTTACCCTTACTGTCTTTCCCTATCTCGAACTCTTGCTTTTTGGATCAGGTATTATTCTTCTTGTCATTAGTGTCATCTCCATTTTGATTTATATATCATTCATGTTAGATAAGAAAGCTTTAAGTTAGTGAATTCATGATTTTAAAATGTTTAACAAACGTCACTTAGCAAATAAAGCATTTTGGAATTTTTCTTTAAAAAAAACGGCATTTGACATGTGAATTTTGGAATTTTTTGAGAAACTATGAGGACTTCTTTTTTGATAAAGAAAAAAAAGTTTAAGCTTAAACCAAAAATTCCAAAATGTTATGTTTCCTGCATAACTAACAAAAAATTTTATCAAGGGCAAATTACAATTAGTTATTTAGACGTTTTATACAAAAACGAAAGAGAAAAAATATATTTTAAGAATTTAGTCCAAATAAAATGACATACCAAATGACCAATCTTATACTTTAATCTAGTCTAAATAAAAAAATACAACCAGTCAAGCTCAAATCGAATTTCGCTTATAATAAGAAGACTAGCCAGTTAGAATACAATTACCCAAAAAGAAACTTGGAAAACTCCCCCCTGCATTGTTCCCATCCACACAAACAAATATTTATTACTGAATAACTGAATATCACCAAGAACTCAATAACTCAACAATGGAGAAACAAGAAGAAGTGATTCTACTGGATTTCTGGGCAAGCATGTATGGGATGAGGGTCAGGATAGCACTTGCTGAAAAGGGCGTTTCATACGAACACAGAGAAGAAGATTTGAGGAACAAGAGCCAGCTTCTCTTGGAGATGAACCCGGTTCACAAGAAAATTCCGGTTCTCATACACAATGGCAAACCAATCTGCGAGTCTAGCATCATTGTTGAATATATCGATGAAGTCTGGAAAGATAAAACTTCATTGTTTCCTTCTGATGCTTATGGCAAAGCTCGTGCCAGGTTCTGGGCCGACTTTATTGACAAAAAGGTGACTCTTGACTCTTCCTGATTTTCTTTTGATTTATTTATTATTAATATTCTATACGTCGGGGTTAATTTACAGTTCAGGGGTATGTAACTATGTATTCCCTCCATCTACGAAGAAAATGGTCTTTATTTGATTAACGAAGCTTTTGTCTAACTTTGTGTATGTAAATGCAGGTATTCCAACCTGGGAGGACTTTGTTGTACACAGCAAAAGGTGAAGAACATGAGGCAGCAAGAAAAGATCTCATGGATTCCCTTAAACTGATTGAAGGAGAGCTTGGAGACAAGCCTTACTTTGGAGGTGAGAGCTTTGGCTACGTTGATGTGTGTTTGATTCCGTTTTATACACGGTTTCGAGCCTATGAAACGTTTGGGGAATTGAACGTTGAAGGCGAGTGTCCAGCGTTGACTGCGTGGGCTAAAAGTTGCATTCAGAACAAGGAAAGTGTGTCTAATGTTCTTCCTGAGTCGCTAAAGATGCTTGGCTTAGTTCAACAGATGAGGAAGATACGTGGAGTCGATGAGTAGAACTTCCAAGTATCAAACCAAGTATATATGTTGTTAAACCTTTCGATCATGTATCGGTGTCTTTTACTTCGCTTTCTTGTGAAAATCACTTTTGATGCCAAGTTTTCTTGTTTTTACCATCTTCCCTATCTTTAACTCTCCCTTTCTAGAGGGATGCCTATGATGCGGTTATTAGACTAGAGAGAGTGACGCTAATTATCCGTCGCTAAGGACGCACCAACACCGCCCCTGCCCCTTGGCTCTCGCCAAACTAACGAGAAGATAGATGAGAGAAAATGAGGATAGTGAGGGCTTTTTGATTATTTTAATGTTTCTACCTATTTTTTTTTTAAATGGATCATTTTTTATAAAAAAATATAATCAACCACTATAAATACACACACCTCCACATTTTAATATATACAAATTTCAATACATCACTCAAAACCTCCATCATTTTAAAAAAATATCGTCATCATCTTCCTGGAACTCTCATACTCAGGAACGTATTACAAGTAGCCATTGTCATACGAAATATGCTAGAACAAACAATTACCAGCCAGAAAGCGAACAGTGGTCGACGTAAACGAAGAAGATATATATCCAAAGAGAACGTGAAGAGGCCAACCAACATCTCATGTGTGATTATTTTGGATGAGCATGCTCTCTTTCAAAGATATTATTTCCTAACCTTTCGGTTTTTGTTAAGACTTTGTCATGTCTACCATAAAAGATCAAGACTAATGGGAGCCCAAGAAAAAGCGGGGAAAGACATTAGTACAAAACATATTTAATAGTGTGATGAGATTTTGTTTGGTGTGGTGAAGCCTAAAACCGCACCGTTAAAACACTTCGCATTAATAAACAAAGGAACCGCACCATTTAAATCATTTGTTGGTGCAATTTTCCTATACCCACAGTAAAAAACATTAGAAAGGCATAATTTGATGCATTAGTTCAAAACCACTCTATTAAACTCAAATGGAAATCACATCAATAAAGCATGTGAGAACCGCAACATTTATTTATTCTATCCTCTAAAAATTTCACTCCAAATTTTCAATTCCCTCCCACATTTTCGTTCTAATAAACCACATTAAATAGCGGGAACCACATCAATAAAACATTTGTGCTCTATATTCACGTTTGGTGACATCGGGTTGTTTAAATAAATCAATCATGTATTCGTGTTAATATGATTTCAGGAAGCCTCATCGATTTTGATTTATGATTTATGATTTGTGTTAATCTAATTCATGTCAAACTGATTCGTGTAAATTGTAAGATTTCGTTATTGTTCTTCACTTATTTGAGGTTAGATTTCTGATAAAAAGTGAAGTTATATGCTTTCTTTCTTATTTGAGGTTTGATTTATGATAAAAAGTTAATTTATGTGATTTCTTTCTGATTTTCTATAGATAACTTGAAACATCAACATTATAAGTTTTGTAATCATTGTTGCTGGAGAGTGGCAAACGATTTAGAAATCCTTATCCTTGTTGATGGAAATTGAATCGACATCACAAGTTCACAACTTGGTGTTTTCGTTTCCTTTACTTGCTTTTTTCTCACTGACATTGTTTTATAAGTTTAAAAACACTAACATGTTGCATAAAAACAATTATATGGTAGTGATAAAAGAAAAAAAACGAAACAACTATACTATTACAAAAACGACATATGGATAAATTTATATCAAATGCCTCATTTAAAAAAATAAACAAAAACAAAAGTGTCACATTCCTTTACTATTTTTTTTTTACTGTGAATGCCTTATTTTTTTTTGCCCGGGACCTCAAATCAACTTGAACCAACCATGTGTGTTACATGGTGGCAAACTAAAACCAAACAAATCAATAACAATAAAACTATTATTTTCATCCTACAATAATGCCCATTCAGCCCCTTAACTTATTTTCATGCTTTATGATGAAATAAACTTGTTTTTGTCGGGTCTATTTGGTCATTTTGGACAAATTGAAGGGGTAACCCGATACCCCTTTGCCACATAGACTTTAAATTAATTAAAATAGATAGTTTAAAGGGGAAATGACACATTACTTTGATGTTGAGCTGACTCCTCATTTCTCCTCCAAACCAATGACCATGACCTGATTCACCACTTCCACCACTTGCACCAAAACCGACAATCTGAACCCTAATCTTTGCGACATCAAATCAAATTACAACATATCATACTCCATTTGATGCCCTTCGATCACCACAAAACTTAGATTCTCACCCCCCTCAACAAACCCCAAGCACCACCGATCTCCATCTTCCTCTTCACCTGTAACTCTTACCATTGAATTCGCTCCAAACATCCTCCAAAACACATCTCTAGGCATCAATTATAATATTACTTTTAGACACCTTTTTGGAAGCAAAGATTATTGCATGAGGAAAATGTAACTCCCCAATTCCCATGTATTGTTTAAATAAGAATTTAATTGGTTTCAAGGCCTACTCGACGAGTTGGTTGCCTTACTCGTCGAGTAGCAACGGGTTTGATACGCGTGTTTAGTGACCTACTCGCCGAGTCCATGAAGGGTTTGGGGGTGTTTGAGGCCCTCCTTGTGCACCCTATTTAAAGGAGCCTCAGCCTCCTTTGGCCTCTTTACAGTCTTTGAGAGCTCAGTGAAACCCTAATTCGTGTGGTACTCTTCTTGGTGTGATTTAAGCCTTGGAAAGAAGGTTGGCTAGGAGGGAAAAGCTTGAAGAGCAAAGGAGTTGAAGCAAGGAAGGTGTAGGAAGTAGAACTTACCTCAGCAAGCATCTTCTGGAGGTATCAAGTTGCAATCTTTACTTCCCTTTCCTTCTAGATCTCTTTTCTTTGGTTGAGTTTTAGGGTTTTATGGATTTTGAGTTGATATGGTGAGCTATGGGCTAGATCTGAAGTTGTAACTTCAGATCTGGACCCTTCCTAAGTCCTAGAGTCATAAAGTTGCGGGTTTGGGGGTGTTTGAGGCCCTCCTTGTGCATGAAACCCCATTAAGAGCTTGGAATTGCCATTAAGAGCCTTTTTAGTCATGCATACACGTAAAGTTTGCAACTTTACGTGAAAAGCATGCTTTAGAAGCTTGGATCTGTAATTCGGAGCCATTGCATGGCTTAAATGAGTTTCTATGGCTTAAGGACTGAACGACGAGTCGCAAGGTTGACTCGACGAGTCGTATGAAGATGGCCTTGAACTCGACGAGTTGGATGAGCAACTCGGCGAGTCCGATGAAGATTGCCATAGACTCGACGGGTTGTATGAACAACTCGGCGAGTCGGATGAGTTTTCCCCAAGTTATGAATGTGTGTGTATCCGTCGTGTTGCAAGTAGGAAACTCGTCGGTTGGCTTTAGGGTTCGATCGAAAACCGTAGAAGCTCGACGAGTCACCCCGGTGACTCGGCGAGTGGGAAAGAACTTCAAGGAACTCGGCGAGTAGTGAGGGTACTCGGCGAGTTAAGGTTAACATGGACTGTTGACCTTGACTGACGACTTTGACTTTGATCAGGGTATGATTAGTTGGCTTAAGGGGTACCTTGAAGGGTTAGGAACTTATGGGTTTGATTATGCTATGGTAATAGGTGGTGGAGTTTGTGGCAGTGATCCGAGGGTTGAAGTTTATCTACCAAGTCGACATCTGCAAGGTGAGTTATCCTCACTATATCGATAGGGTCTACGGCACCAAGGCTGGCCCCTTTAGTTGTTATCGTTATGGTATGCTACATGTGGATATGATCTGTTAGATCAGAATCAGGATAGACGGTATGTTATGCTCTTATGATCCGCAGGGATTGATATGTTAGTGACATGCTAGGTCAGTGCTCTAGTTATGAGAGATTGCTATGTTTGGTAATCAGTGAGATAGATATGTTCGATGTTTTGTATATGCCAGTATATGTTAGTTATGCACACATGGTTATTTGCTTGTTGCTTGGGTTGAGGCGTTCCTGCTTTGTACTGAAGGCCAACACACCCTAGGAGCGGTCCGGGAAGACTGTAGGCCCATGTGGCGGTCCAGTCATGCCGAAGGCTCGGTATAGATCCAGTTGGACTGTAGGCCCTGTAGGGCGGTCCAGTCAGGCCGATGGCCCAGTATGCATGTTGATTGATTGATTATTACGGATATGGTATTATCAGTGTGGTATTGATATTTTTTTGGGGGGGGGGGGGTAGCTCACTAAGCCCTCGGGCTTACAGTTTTCAGTTTATTGTTTCAGGTACTTCAGGAGTTCATGGCAAGGCGAAGGCGTGACCGTACCGCTCCTCATCCTTATGATCTGGCTTTTGGGACACTCTGATTGAATAATGAATTGAAAACACTTTTGTAAACAATTACTATTTGGTTTTATATATGCTTGAAAAGTTTAAATTTGGCGTAAAATTTTGGATGTTACAAGTTGGTATCAGAGCCTTGGTTTGAGTGAATTGGAGGAACACTTGTGTGAATCCAGTCTCAAATCAAGGAGATTTTCGGAAAGTAAAATTTTAAAATGGCTTTCAAATAACGGATGGAGGATGCAGAGGGTACGATCAGCCGGAGCCTGTAAGTGAACCCCAAAATACCATACAGTTATTTGATATTTTGATATGTTAGAACAGCATGCTAGTGCTAGGCTAGGGATCTTCACGAATCGCATGATAGATTTGCCTGATTATATGATGCCTATTAGTCTAGGGTTTCTTGTATATGGAATTGACATCATAACTGTAGATGTTTAGTGTATGCATCACGGTTGTGCATAATAAAGACCTTATAGCCTGAGAATGTTGATTCGGCCTTCGGGTAGGATTGGATATTTGAAAGTCTATTGGGTCCAGCGTTATGTGCAGCTAGCATACACTAGCGCTGCAGGGGATGATGAAAGTTTCATGGATGTGTGGGTTGTGAGGAGCTGTGAGATCAGTTGTGGGATGGGCGATGTTTCCCTAGGAGTAAGGGTTGAGCGCATATTATGTTGATGATAGTGTTAGGGTGTTGTGGTGATACTTGAGACAAATATGGGTAGGTGTGGAAGGTAGTATGGGCCCGTACTACTGAAAGCACAGGACCCATACGCGTAGCATGGAAGTCAAAACCCCTAGGGTTTGTGGGTTTTGGGTCTCCCAATATTATGTTATTTATCT